CGCGCGGCGAGCGCGCGGCGGCGCTGGCAGCGGCTGGAAGAGGCGGCGGCGCGGCGCGAGCGGCGGCTGCAGGAGGCGCGGGCGCTGCACCAGTTCGGCGCCGACCTCGACGGGCTCCTCGACTGGCTTCGCGACGCTTACCGCCTAGCAGCCGCGGGCGACTTCGGCCACGACGAGGCGTCCAGCCGCCGCCTGGCCCGCCAGCACCGCGCGCTCACCGGGGAGGTGGAGGCGCATCGCGGGCCCGTGGGCGGCCTGCGGCGTCAGTTGGCGACACTGGGGGGCGCCAGCGGCGCCGGGCCACTGGTGGTGGCCCTGCAGGTGCGCGTGGTGGAGGCGGAGCAGTTGTTCGCCGAGGTGACCGAGGTGGCTGCGCTGCGGCGCCAGTGGCTGCGAGACGCCCTGGCGGTCTACCGCATGTTTGGCGAAGTGCACGCGTGCGAGCTGTGGATCGGTGAGAAGGAGCAATGGCTGCTGGCCATGCGTGTGCCCGATTCGCTCGACGACGTCGAGGTGGTGCAGCACCGGTGAGCGCGCCCTCCTGGGACTTCCAGGTCCCCTTTCTCACGCACACAGCCTCGCCTTCGTGCATCAACAGTTCCCATTTTCTCTCAGCTGCGACCAGGGGTTCCAGTGAAATGGGAGTGATAATAGTCCCCACCTCACAGGTGACGAGTAATGAGTAAATACTTAATAGAACACTGAGCAAATACCTGGTACAGGGAGCATTTCAGGGGCGTTTGCTATCATTACGGGACTTATACTCACTTGGCGGGAAATTAAAACTTCTCAAGACACCGCAACCTGGCCCCTCCCCTGGGACTGCCGCGGTTCCTGCACAAATGTCACCTCCCTAGCTAATGAAATGGCTCTGACCCTGTCACTTTCTCTTCCATCACCCTGTTTTACATTTCTTTATAGCATTTACCCGCTGTGACACGTTACATACATCGGTCTGTTGGCTGACTTAGTAATGAATTGTGAAATTAGTGGATGAGCCCTTTTGTTCACCTACTCATTCATTCAGCTGGAACTTATTGAGCTCTTGCTCTGTTCTCGGTCTTGTGCCGGGCATAGCTGAGACCCAGGCCTGGTCCCTGCCCTTACTGTGCCCACAATTACCCAAGCCACAGCTTTGGGCATTTGTTTTAAAAAAGGGAGGACTGTGCCCAGCTTTAAAAAGATCTCCCTGGCTGCCACGTAGAGGGTATGTTGGAGGGGTTGAGAATCGTGGCTGGGAACCCAGAGAGGCACAAAAACCATGTGAGCCGAAACCGAGAGTCAGACGCCCATCCGACTGAGCCACTCAGGTGCCCCTGAGAAATGTAACACTTAAGGGACCGGTAGAAGGAGGAGGAGCTGGCACAGGGTCCTAAGAGGATAAGAATTAGAAGGAAATCCAGGAGAAGGCCAAGACGTGGGCAGGTCCCCAGGGTCCAGGCCTGCTTGAGCACGACCCTCCTGCTTCTACAGATTTGAGAGCCTGGACCAGGAGATGAACAGTCTGATGGGCCGTGTCCTGGATGTGAACCACACGGTTCAGGAGCTGGTGGAAGGAGGCCATCCCAGTTCAGATGAGGTGCGCTCCTGCCAGGACCACCTCAACAGCAGGTAGGCGGGGCCTGGTGCCTCAGGCCAGTTCTTTTCCTTCATTCTTTTCCTCATTCACTCAACTGTTGCGAGTCGAGGATGTGCAATTTCGACACCCTGAGGTGATCGTGGCCACCTAGGAAGTCAGCAAAATCTTGGAGGAAAATGGTAATACCCAGTGCTAGTGAGGATATGGTAAAATGAGGATACGATATATTTTAGTGGATTATTAATTGGCTTGTACAGATATGATTTACTGAGGATCTACTATCTGCCGGGAATTTTTCTAAGCACTTTATATGCCTTGTTTTATCTTTTAATATCCCAGTTTCCATAGTAAAGTTTCCAGAATTCAGAACTCTTTAAAAATGGATACTCTGGTTTGTCTTCAGATCGTATAAATCTTTCGCCTTTTACTAAAAATGGTAACAAATTAATATCTTTCCCCCTTGAACACTACCAGCTGTTTTTCCAATGTGGGTAGGGTTCATAGATGAAGACAGATTCGGGGAGGCGGAATCCTTAATATGACTGATTACCCGGTACAATAAGTAGGAGGTCAAACCTAATGCTGTCTGAATCTGGATCTGGGGCTCTTGAGCATCTTCTATTAGTCTTTTCAGCAACCCTTTGGGGCATGAATTGCTCCATGTTAGAGAAGAGGAAACTGGGGCTCCAGAGATGCGAAGACACCGGCCCAAAGTCACACAGCAAAGTAGGGAGGGTCAAGCCAGGATTTCACGTTGAGTTTGTCTGACTCAAAGCTATACTCTTTTTTTTTCTTTTATTTATTTTTGAGAGAGAGAGAGAAAGCGCACACACGGTAGGAGCAGAGAGAGAGAGGGAGAGAGAGAAAGAATCCCAAGCAGACTCCACACTGTCCTAGCACGGAGCCCGATGCAGGGCTGAGAAATGTACCATGAGATCATGACCTGAGTGGAAAACAAAGAGTCGCTTGCTCACCCAACTGAGCCCCCTCAGGAGCCCCTCAAAGATGGTATTCTTAACTGCTGTGCTGTAAGATTCCAATAACCAGTGATAACCTACAGAGGTAGCCTTGACACTCTCAAAGCATCAAGGTCTCAAATGACAACAACAAAGATTGACAGTGCTTAATAAGGTTATATGCCAAGTGCTTTAGCCACAAGATATCATTAGACGCTCAGTGAAATGGACATTATTATTCCCATTTTCCAGATGAGGAAGCTGAGGAGCAGCGGGAAATGATTTGCCCAAGGTCACATGATGAATCTGGCCAAAGCAGATCTTGAACTTGGGTCCTTCTGATTTCAGAGTCCTAATCTCTGCTCTGTGGCATGTCCATTCTAGAGGGGACAGAGAGACAGTGAACAAATAAATAAATGAACAAGATATTTAGAGAGTTCAAGTGACCTGGTAGAACACAACTGGGGGCTGGAGGTGATTTTAATTTTTTTTAATATTTATTTTTGAGAGAGAGAGAGAGAAAGACAGAGTGTGAGTGGGGGAGGGGCAGAGAGAAGAAGGGAGACACAGAATCTGAAGCAGGCTCCAGGCTCTGAGCTGTCAACACAGGCCCAGTGAAGTGTCATCACTTGCTTGAGGGCCCAAAGAAATCCGTATTTTTTCCCATTAATTTATTTTGATATAGAACAGATTTGCCTGTACATCATTTGATCCTCAGCACTTGGCTTGTGGAATGTACCCGGTTTCTATTTGCTGGATGCAACATAGTATTCTTACACTTTTTACACTGTGGGATCAGAATCCCTTTGCTCTCCTAAAAACTGTTCGGGGCCCCAAAGAGCTTGTTTTCGTGAGTTATATCTATCAATATTTACTGTGTTGGGAATTAATACTGGGAAATGTAAAGATATTAAGTTGTCTTAAAATAACAATAATAGGGGCGCCTGGGTGGCTCAGTCAGTTAAGCGTCCAACTCTTGATTTCACATCAGGTTATAATCTCGAAACTTGTGAGTTCAAGCCCCGCATTGGGCTCTATGCTGACAGTGCGGAGCCTGCTTGGGATTCTCTCTCTCCCCCTCTCTCTCTCTGCCCCTCCTCTACTCACTCTCTCTCAAACTAAATAAACAAACTTAAAAAAATAAAATAATAATAAACCCATTATGTTAATGTAACCAGCATACTCATATATTTTATGAAAAATAACTGCTTTTCATAACAAAAAATGTAGTGAGTGGCATTGTTTTGTGTTTTTGCAAGTCTTTTATGAAAAAAAAAATTTAAGTTTATTTATTTTGAGAGAAAGAGAGCACAAAACTGGGGGAGGGGCAGAGGGAGAGGGAGAGAGAGGGAATCCCAAGCAGGCTCCGCACTGTCAGCATGGAGCCCCATGCTGGGCTTGAACTCACCAACCGGGAGGTTATGACCTGAGCCAAAATCAAGAGTTGGAGGCTTAACCAGCTGAGCCACTCAGGCGCCCCACATCTCTTTGATGTCTGGCTGAAGAGAAGGCAGCCGAATTCTCGGATCTGCTTCTGTGTTCTGCCTTTTCTCACGCAGCCTCTGGAAAGTACCCTGGACACCAGGGAGAGAATAGGGAGAGGGCAAACAGCGTCTTAGTCTTAGCGTTATTACAAAGATACTTTTGACCTCGCTCAGCTTACATTTTGAGAACCGCTGCTCTAAGCAAGTGTGCCTTGTAGGGTTTTATTTTACACCAGCAGAAACTGGGGCCCAGCGAGATAAAGTGACTTTCCAAAGTCACACAGTGGCTGGGTTCTATCCCAGGTTGTTGGGCCCTCCAGGCCCAGGAGGAGTCCCTGGCCTCCTCAAGCCGCCCTCCTTCCCCCCACCAACCCCCCCGCAGGTGGAACCGCATCGTGGAGCTGGTGGAACAGCGCAAAGAGGAGGTGAGCGCAGTGCTGCTGGTGGAGAACCACGTGCTGGAAGTGGCCGAAGTGCGCGCCCAGGTGCGCGAGAAGCGGAGGGCCGTGGAGAGCGCGCCCCGAGCGGGCGGCGCCCTGCAGTGGCGTCTCAGCGGCCTGGAGGCGGCTCTCCAAGCTCTGGAGCCCCGCCAGGCGGCCCTCCAGGAGGAGGCGGCCCTGCTGGCCGTGCGCTTCCCGGCTCAGGCTGCGCGGCTGCACCAGGGTGCGGAAGAACTGGGCGCCGAGTGGGGCGCGCTGGCCAGCGCGGCTCAGGCCTGTGGCGAGGCCGTGGCCGCGGCCGGGCGCCTGCAGCGCTTCCTGCACGACCTGGACGCTTTCTTGGACTGGCTGGTGCGCGCCCAGGAGGCGGCGGGCGGTGTCGAGGGCCCCCTGCCCGGCAGCCTGGAAGAGGCCGATGCGCTGCTGGCTCGCCACGCGGCGCTCAAGGAGGAGGTGGACCAGCGCGAGGAAGACTATGCCCGCATCGTGGCGGCCAGCGAGGCGTTGCTGGCGGCCGACGGCGCCGAGCTGGGCCCCGGCTTGGCACTCGACGAGTGGCTGCCGCACCTGGAACTCGGCTGGCACAAGCTGCTCGGCTTGTGGGAGGCGCGCAGGGAGGCCCTGGTGCAGGCACACGTCTACCAGCTTTTTCTGCGCGACCTACGCCAGGCTCGGGCGGTGCTGCGCAACCAGGTGGCCGCTTCGGGGCTCACGCGGTGGGGGATTGTGGCGACGGGGGAAAATGTATGGAGGGAGTTTTTGCAGGGACCGCTGCGTTCGTGGCTTGCCCGAGGTCAGTGGGAGCGGGGAGGGTGTCTGGGATCGCGGGTTTGTGGCTCATCCAGTGTGAACACGTGTGGGCAGGTGTGTAACAGGATTTGAGGATTAGTGTTTCATCTAAGGTGGCTAACAGTGTGTGCACTATCCCAAGTCAGTAATGCAATGGATATACATTGCACTGGCTTCCTGCGTTTGTGGATTGTTTGGAAGGAAATAAGAAGGTGAGGTTAATCGATGATGGTTAATGGGGTTCAAAGATCTTGGGGTGGATGAGGGAGGATAAAGATTATGGAAACAGGTAATTCAGGCTGAGAGGTTATCTGGATCAGCAATTGATTGTGGATTATGTGGTTGTGGGTGCCCAAATTAGCAGATAATCTTCTTATTGGGAATGGCAATGTGCTTTCCTTATGGAGAGGGTAACTGTTTATGGTTTGAGAGATGAAGTGCCATGGTTATCTGGGATGAGCGCATCCATTGGGAGATCATTCTGGGATGGGAACCAAGTTTGAGCATTTGGACAAGACAGAACACCCTGTTTTCAGATTGCCCAAGAGTAGGTACCAAGCTCTGGAGATTTTAGAAAGGGTGACCACCAGTGCTGGTCATCTAGTGAAAGCTTAACCAGTTTGAGGGTTAACTGGGGGGACAGACAGGGAGCCCCTGGAATTCTGAGGATACTGAATATGGGAGGTGAGGTGGCCTTAAGAGAACCTTTCTAACCCACCCGTCTTACCAGTTAGAAAAATAATCCCAGAGAGGGAAAGAACTTCCTTGAAGTCACACAGCACCCAGTTCAGGCGTCATCAGTTAACCAAGTATTTACTGAGTGCCTCCTTTGTGCCAGGTACTATTCTGGGACTGAGCACACATTAGGAAACAAAACACAAAATCCCGCCCTCGTGCAGCTGGCCTTCTAGTGTGTGTGGGGAGGGAGAAGATGATAAACAAGTAAATGCAAATATATATTTATGTATATATATATGTATATATATACATATATACATATACATATATATATACACACACACAATATATATAATATCATGTCAGGTAATGCTGTGAAAGATAATAAAGCAGGGTAAAGGGATATAACTGGGGTGCAGGGTGGTGTTTTTGGCAGATGGCCAGAGACCTAAAGAAAGTTAAGGAGCCCACTATAGGCATATCTGAAAGGAGGGACCAGCCAGGCAGAGGGACTAGCATGGGCAAAGGCCCTGAGGTGGGATCATGCCTGGCCTGTTGGATGCTAGAGCACAGTGAGCAAGGGAGAGGAGCGAGGTGGCAAGCCTCTCCCAGGTCCAGGACGGAATGGAGCAGGGCGGACCTGAGCACCACCCCTCCTCCTCATTCCCAGGAGGTGGCACTGTCGGGTCTGGAGCTCCCGGGCACGGTGGAGTCAGTGGAGGAGGCACTGAAAAGGCACCGGGATTTTCTCACCACGATGGAGCTGAACCAGCAAAAGATGCAGGTGGCGGTGCAGGCTGCCGAGGGCCTGTTGAGGCAGGGCAACGCCTACGGAGAGCAGGCCCAGGAGGCTGTGACCCGGCTGCTGGAGAAGTAGGTCCCTCGGACCCCAGAGGCACAGGGGGTGTGGTCTGGGCATAGGGGGTGTGGTCTCGGCAAGGGGGTGTAGTTTGAGCATAGTGGGCGTGGTCCAGGCGGGGCGGGTGTTGTCTCAGTACAGGGAGTGTGGTCTCGGCACAGGGGGTGTGGTTTGGGCATAGCGGGTGTGGTCTCGGCACAGGGGAGGGATCAAGAGGTCAGGGCTCCTCTGCTTTACATCATGATTTCTGCTTCTCTTCCCCTCTTGGATTTTTATTTAATTCCATACCGTTTTAAATTTGCTTTAAATTGATACTTTGCGGAAAGGTAACTCATGCTCAGAAACCCAAAAGATACACAAGGATATATAATGAAGTTGCTCTGCCAAGCCTGCCCTCAGTCTGAGGTAGCTGAACTGGTTGTTAACGTGTTGACTTCTTTTCCTGGATGCCCTGCATCTGCCCTGCCCTTCTGGTGCCCCGATCTAGCAGCTAAAGGCTAGAGCCGGGTTCTGTTCTAGCTCTCTAGATGGGACAGTGTCCCCTGCCATGCTGGTTGTCGGATATTGTGAGTGAGCACCTCCCTCTGGGCCCAACTGCCCAGTTTCCTAGGAAGCACACATGGTGTGTGTGTGTGTGTGTGTGTGTGTGTGTGTGTGTGTGTGTGTCTTTCCTGCTGCTGTTGCACATTATCAGTCTCTTCTATCACCATCTGTCTGTCACCACCGCCCGGTCTCTTGTCTGTCCTTGTACTAATTAAGCAAAGACATTTACTGATATCTACTGTGTGCCAGGCACTATTCTAGTCCCGGAACAAAACGGTACCCGCCCCCCAAATTGCAGCCCTCAAGTAGAGTCCTTTATAGGGGCTCCTCTAGGCTGACTTTATCATCATCACTGTTTCTGCCCCTTGTGGTGAGCCACAAGGGCCCCACGCTGCTCCTTCTGTCTTTCCATCCTCTGATGGAAAGCATGCCTGGTCCCTCCACCACCATCCACAGCCCAGAGACCCCAGCCCTTCCTCTGTCTGGGGCTCAGGTGTCCTTTTCCTCTAAATTCATCTGGGACAATGCTGGAATTTTCTTTTTCTTTTTTTTTTTTTAAATTAAAAAATTTTTATTTTTGAGAGAGAGAGAAAGACAGAAACAGAGCGTGAGTGGGGGAGGGGCAGAGAGAGAGAGGGAGACACAGAATCAGAAGCAGACTGCAGGCTCCAAGCTCTGAGCTGTCAGCACAGAGCCCAACGTGGGGCTTGAACTCACCAACCGAGAGATGCTGACCTGAGCCAAAGTCAGATGCTTAACCGACTGAACCACCAAGGTGCCCCAAGGCTGGGATTTTGTCAAGGAAACTTTCATGGGGGTTCTGGTCCTGAAGGTATAAACTCATGATCTAGTGCTCCCAGCACCAGGCCTGGACCCACCCTTCCTTTACCCCACACTTCTTGAGTACCTGCTGTATGCCAGGCTCTGCAGAACGAAGAGGAGGATCCTGGTGGACTGCTCATTCTCTGATTCCCTCTTCCTTCCTTCCTTTTCTGTCATTAATTGCTCCATTCATTCTATCATGTATTCAGCGGACTCAGGTACCGAGTCCATACTCTGTTTCAGGCCCTGCGTGGGGCAATGCTGGGCGTGCAGCCGTGACCAGGATAGCACATGACTCCTGCCCTCACAGAGCTCACATGCTTTCTTACAAGGATGGCCCAGAATGGTCGAGACTGGGATGGGAGAAATGCAGGGGGCTGTGGGAGCCCCAGGGTGATGTCTGCCCTAGGCTTGTGCTGGGTGAGGCTGGGAAACACAGCAGGAACTGAGACAGTTCTAATCCCTGCCTCCCTCACCCCTAGGTCACTGACAGTTGCCTAGGGACAGATTTCCCACCCTGTGGAAGTTATTCTAAAACATCCACTTGCTAGGGTTTGGGGGGAGGGCTTTCCACACCCATACGGGGACAGAACCAGTGCAGAGCTGTGAGCTGGGGCCCTGACGTCAGACAGGGTCAGATGCTAGCCCCTGCTTTACCCCTCAACCTGTGAGATTCAGGGTGAGTCGTTTAGTCCCTCCATGTGCCTCGCATCACCTGGAACCTGGCCCAGTCCTGTGTGTGAAGTGTTCTCATGATCTGCATGTTGCACTTGAGAGGCTTGGTTAGGGGAATGGACTTGCCTAAGGTCACAGCCAGGATGTGACCCAGCCGGGATATGAAGGATGTGAACACTGCTGTTTTCTGTCCCTCCCTCCCAGAAAGGAGGGATTTTCCTTGTTCCTAGAACTGATGCTAGGCAGGTTGGCTGGTGAAGGCCTGGAGGGATTATTTCAGTTCAATTTCAGAGGCATTTCCCATTTTCTGGCTCTTGAGCTGAGCCCCGGGCAGGAGGGAATCAGTACTTGGCTTGTTTGTCTCTGCCTTGTCTGGTTCCTCTGTCCAGCTCTACACTGAGGAGTTCCCTGTAGTTTTCTCTCACAAGCTTTGCCTCTTTGCCTCCATCTATCTGTATATCTCTGTGTCTCTGTTTCCTTCTGTGTCTCTCCCTGTTTTTCTCTACCTGCATCTGCATCTCTCTGACTCTTTATTCTCTTCTGCCTCCCTCTCTTTTTCATACACTTTACCTTTGTTTTTGTCATCTCTCTTTCTCTCTGCCTTCATTCATGCATGCATGCATGCATTCATTCATTCATTCATTCATTCATTCAAGAAATATATATCAAGCACCTAAGGTGTGCCAGGCTCTTTTTCTAGGCATCGAGGATACATCTGTGACCAAAACAGACAAAAATTCCTGCTCTCACGGAATGACATTCTAGTGGGGGAGATGTCATATGTATATGTAACATATACAGTGTATTAGATAGTGCTAAGTTGGAGAGAGAACATTAAAGAAGAAAGCCAGGAAGTGTTGGAGGGTGATCAAGAAGGGCCTTGCTAAGAAGGTGGTATTTAAGTAGATGTTGAGGGGAAGAGCGTTCTGGGCAGAGGGAACAGCCAATGCCAAGGCCCTGAGATAGGAGCGGCTTGTTTAAGGCAAAGGAAAATGGCATGTCCCCAGTCCCCCTCCACCGGGACTCTTGGGCACTTTGTACTGTGGGCAGGAGGCCAGAGCTGCCTGGGGCTGCGGTCCTGGCTGGCTCCGGGGTGGTGGGGCTTGGGTCCAGCCCTGCCAGTTCACTCAGGCCAAAAGTCTGGCCCTGCTTGCCAGTGTACCTGCCCACCCTCTCTTCCCATGCCCCACTCTCTTCCCTGTCTCCAGCTCTGTTGCACCCTCCTTTCTGGCCAGCCGTGTCTTTTACTGCTGTCGTCTTGCCACGTCTCTGCCTTTCCCGGTTGTCCCTGCCCCGACTCTCTCTATCACTTTCACTCCCTTTGCCTCCTTCTCTCCCTCTCCTTGTCTACTGCTGTTGGTCTCTCTGCCTCTCTGGCACTTCCCTGCTGCATTTCTTTACTTGTCTTTCCTTATTTTTTTCTCTTCCTGGGTTTCTTTGTCTTTATCTGTGGGTCTCTGTCAATCACTTCCTCTTAAGGTCTGTTTCTAGTCTTGTGTCTGTGTTTATCTCTCTCTGTAGGCCTCTGCACCTCTCTCTCTCTCTCTCCCTGAATCTGTGTTCCCCTCCTAATCTCTTGCTCTCTAGGTGTCTCTTGATCTCTAAGTTGCTATCTCTCCATATCTCTTACTCTGTCTGCAGGTTTCTTATCTCTCTCTCTCTCTCTCTCTCTCTCTCTCTCTCTCTCTGGGCTTGTGTCTGTCTCTCTGTCCCTCTTTCTTTATAAGTGTCTGTATGTCTTTCCGCATGTCTGTCTGTCTCCGTCTCTCTCTCTCTCTCTCTCTTGCTCTCTCACTCTCCCTCTGCCCCTCTCCAGTTCGTCCCTGATTCATTGGCGTTTCTTTGCCTCTCCCCCATCCCCGCCTTACTCTGTCCTCTTCCTCGCTCGTACATATGCTCCGGGTTCCTAGCCCTGCCAAGCCTGATGCCCTCACAGCCCTACAGCCAGTGCCCCCCCCCCCCCCCCCCCCCCCAATTTAGGCATGCCCCAGCCCCTCTCTCCCCCCCCTCCCCAGGAGCCAAGAAAACCAACTACGGGCGCAGCAATGGATGCAGAAGCTACACGACCAACTTGGGCTGCAGCACTTCCTCCGAGACTGCCATGAGGTAGGAACTCCAGCTGTGCTGGGCACAGTGACTTCTTTCCTAGGGAGGGGAAGTGCTCCTGGGCTTGAGGCGCTATGGGGGCGGGGACGCCCCGTCTAAGTGGGTCGCGGAGCGACGTTCACTTGGAGCCGCCAGGAGGCGCACGGATTCCAGCCTCAGTGCGCAAGCTCCGCGGCTCCCGCCTCCTTTCCCGTGGAGAAGGAGGGAGGGGCCCTGGGCGCCCCTGGCAACGGCGCGCGTTCGCGCCTACGGGTCCCGCGGGGACGCGCGGTGATCTCACCTTTCTCTCGGGAGATTTGTGAGAAGCGCCTTGCTGGGGAGAGTGGTGGAAGACGCAGGGTCAGGAGCAGGCTTGGGTAGACCAGAGGCCCAGAGCGCAACTTCAGTCAAAAACAAGCCTTAACCCCTTTAAGAGTGTCCAGCAATCAAGCTCTTTTCCTTTAGAGATGATCTACACATCTGTAAGGATCTCCCCAAATCAGAGATGGTCCAGGTCTCCTTCCCCATTAGAGACGGTTCAGGAGACGTGCTATCTCCCCTTCCTTCCCCTGCGTTCCATAGAAACTGTTCTAGACCACATTAGAGATGGCCGGGTAAACATTTTCCTAACCCCAGAGATGATCCTGGTCTCAGCCATCTACCCAGGATCATTGCCCCCTGCTCCTTAATGATCCAGTACCCAAGTTCCTCCCAAACAAGGATGGTTCAGGAACTATTTCCCAATTCCTCCTATTAAAGATGGTTTGACACCCTCCGTGGTGAACCCCATGGGAGATTGTTGTCCCCACATATGAAATGGACAAGGGCCTCCATACCTCCCACCCCCACATAACTCAAGCTCATTAGAGATGGGTCTGGGACACAAGCCCACTAGAGATGGGTCTAGGAGCCCCCTGTCCTCCTCCTTCCCAATGGGGATTATTCTGGCAGTCTATCTTAGAAGAGATGTTCCAGGACTCCTCCCATATCCTCTATCTGTATTTCTGAGATGGCCAGGAATCTGAGTGCTTTCTCATTCGATGTGGTTCAAGAGCCCACCCCACCCCCACCCCATACTTCACATGGCGGAGGTAGCCCAGGCCCCAGGTCCCCCCTCCAGCCATTCGATTAGGTCCAGGAACTCCTCCTCCCTCTTGTGAGATTGTTCTGGACCAAGTAGCTAGCAATAATCTGAGATGGCACAGAACCCTCCCCTCACCCCCCAAGCTTAGAGGTGGTGAATCCTCCTCCACCCCCCAACTGAGGCCCGGCAAGGAGGCGGGCACGGAGGCAGGCAGGGGGCGCGCGCGGGCGGGCGCGCTGCCGCGGCGCGGGGGCGGGAGCGGGGGCGCGCATCCGCTAGAGTCTCAGCCGTCACCACCGCTGCCACCGCCGTCGCAGTGGAGGGGCGAGAGCCCGCCCGCCGCAGGAACGCTCCTCCGCCAACGCCGCCGCCGCTTCAGGTCCCCGGGGCGCCCAGGGGAGGGGGCTGACGCGCGTCCCCGCCGAGGCGTTCGGGGGAGGGGGCTTGGGCGCGTTCTCGCCCGCCGAGGCCTCGGGAGGGAGGGGCGCGGGCGGCGCGGGGGCGGGTCGGACCCGCGCAGGGACCCCAGCCCTGGGGAGGGGCAGGGATGCTGGGAGCTGTCCGCGGTGCTGGTGCGGGCGGGACTGAGGGGCCGGGTCCCCAGGGAGGGAAGCGAAAGAGGGGGGACTTCTAAGGCTACTCCGGAGGTAGTCTGGATTTGCTCTGGGGCTTAAGGAGGTCTCATCCTCTCTAGGGAGCTCTCCTCTGGGTAATGGGGGATTTGACGTTTGCCCTGGGGCTGGGGGTTCTCAGCCTTTTGAGAGGTTTCTTCCTTGGTTCTTGCGCGATCTATATTAGCCTTAGATGATTGATGGGAGCAAATCACTTTTGCGAGGGTCGGCTTTGGACGATGAGGGTCTTGGATTTGTTCTGGGTTTGGGGGCTCTGATTTTGAGGGCCATTTCCTTGGTTGTTTGGGACTCTAGCTTTGCCCTCAGTGATGGGGGTCAGTCACTTTCGGGGGACTTTACCTTGATGACGAAGTACCATCTCCTTTAGGGGCTTTGCCTTCCCTGGGAGCTGTGCCTGCCATTGGCAAACTCTTCCCTGTGTGTTGGAAACCTGTGAATTGAGTTGGGGGGTTCAGCATTTGACTTGGCTCTAGTGTGTGTGTATGACGGAGTCTGAAGCTGACCAGGACCCCTAGGGAGCACATGCTCAGGGGACACAGGGTGGGGTTTGGCCGGCTCAGGATTTGTCCTTGGCTATGACTGCAATTGTGCATTTGCCTCTCAGACCAGCTAGAGTCTGGTTTTGTTTTTTTTTTTTTTTTTCCAGGAGGGAAGAGGAGGATCTTGTGACTGGGGGAGGGGGGAGAAAAAGGGGGAGGAGCAAAATGTTCCAGGTGCCAGGTTTGGCCATGAGTGGGTAGGGAGATTCCGGCTTGGGGGATAAGTCTTATTTTGGTGGGGGGGGGTGTCGCTCAGAAAGCAGCCTTGTGATTGGTCCACCTGCTGAGGGGGTTCTATTCTGTGCTTGCATTTTAGATGACTGGTCTTGGTGGGGGGTGGGGAGTAGAACTGGCTTTAGTTTGGGAAGGGGGTTGGCTTAGGAAGCTTCTATCCGATCCTGTTGAGGAGTCTGGGACTATATTTTGGGGTAGGCTCATTCGTGGAGCCAGAGAAGGCAGCCCTGTTGCTTACTTTTGAGAGTTTGGCTTTGGCTAGGGGCTGCAACTAGTCATGGTTTAGGGGAACTGTGGTCTTGGAGTCCCAGGGCTGAATGTAGAAAGTCCTGTGGGCTTATTAGGGAAGCTGGAGCTGGGTTGTGGGGGATGGGTTTACCCCAGATTGAAGGGCTCGTTTGGGGAGAAGTAGACTTGGATCTAGCTGGGAAGATGTTTAAGGGTTCATCTGGCCATATTGGGAGGTTAGGGCTAGATACAGGCTTCATTTGATACCCTTGGGAATGGGTTGGGAATCTTCGAATTGGTCCTTATTGGAGGTGGCTAAGACTGAATCGAAGGGTCAAAGTGTTACTATTGGGAAGATGGTAGGGGAAGATGGGCTAAACGGGAAGTTAGCTAAATTAGGTGGAGGTCTAGTTTTGGAGGGTTGATTGGTCCTGGATGGGAGAAGGCTGACTGGCCCAGGAGCCATGCCTTTGGGGGCTTATGAGGAGTTGAGAAGGGCTGCCCTGAGGACAGGGCAGCTAAGACGTTGGGAATTCTGTGGGTGCCCATCTATCCTCACCCCTTAAGAAAGAGCTTTGAGCTGTGCCCACCCTTCAACAAAGACCTCACCTGCAAAGGTTCTTCCATCCCTTCCTCCCTCCCTCCCCCTAAATCTAGCAGCCTGGGCTTTGAATCTGGAACCTTCTGGAGGGGATAGGGTGCTGTGCCAGGTTGGGGGAATCGGCTGAGCCCCTCCCCCTGTCCTGCACAGCTGGATGGCTGGATCCATGAGAAGATGCTAATGGCGCGCGATGGCACACGGGAAGACGGCCACAAGCTGCATAAGAGATGGCTCCGGCACCAGGCGTTCATGGCCGAGTTGGCTCAGAATAAGGAGTGGCTGGAGAAGATCGAGAGGGTGAGGACGTAGAAGGTGCCTCTGCACGTGCCAGGTGCTGGAGGCCTCCAGGGAACCCACATCTCGGTTCCTGCGCCCTCCACTGCTGCCCTGCCCACACGCACATCTCTGAACCACTTCAGATCATTTCCACATCTGCTCCTAGCAATGTGGCCTTGCGGAACTCATGTAACCTCTTTGAGCTTCAGTTTTCCCATCTGTAAAATGGCTAGCATCTCTTCTGCGTGGTGCCCTTACTTTCCTGGTTGTTAAGTATTTTAACTCCCCCACCAGGTTTTCTCTCACTCCATTTGGAGCTCATAAGATGGATGTTCAGGTACAAAGGCTACAGCAGTCCTGGGAAGCCCAAACGTGAACTTTGGATTCCTACAACCCTGGGCTCTAATTGTGTCTATGCCTCTTACCAGCTATGCACCTTGGGGAATTGTGCTAACCTCTTTGAGCCTGTTTGCTCTGCTTGAAAATTAAGGAAATAATAAATATTGCTACTTCCCTGGACTCTTGTGCATGTAAAGTCCTTAATACAAGGCCAGGCACCTAGGAGCTTAATTGCTACGGTATTGTTATTTTTCATATGTGATATAACATATGTAGCTCTAGGCCACCAAGGAGCTTGACTTCGGTCTTGGAGGAACCCAGCCTCAACCCTCAAACTGATCCCTACTCTTGCTGGTCCCCTAGACCTACAGCCCTCAATACCCCCTCTCCTGTGACTCAAAGGGGACACCCAAGTCAGCCTTGAATACTTAAATGGCCATTGGTGCCCCACAACTGGTGGCACGGGGCAAAGCTACTCTTTGAGTTTAATGGAAGTCCATTCTCTCTGCTTCTTTTGCTCTTCCTCTATTTCTCTTCTGTCTCTATCTCTCTCACGTATCTGTCTTTCTTATGGCCCTCTTCCCGTGTTTCTGACTTTATGTGCATGTCTCTGTGTCCACCACTCTATGTCTGTCTGTCTCTCCCTGTCTTCCTCCCATGTCTTTGTTTGTGTCTCTCTGTCTGTCCCTTGCCTCATCTTTCTCCCCACATCTTGGTTCCTTCCATCTCTGGGCCTGTCTCTGTATCCACCCCTCATGTCTCTGTCTCTTTGTGTGTCCCCAACTCCTTGCCCCTGTCTCTCTCTCTCCACATCTCTCCCTGTGTCCCATTGCCCCCATATTTCTCTGTCCCTCCTCACCACCCTCTCCCTCCCTCTCACTTCTTGTCGCCTGCCTGTCTGGGACAGGAGGGCCAACAACTGATGCAGGAGAAGCCAGAGCTGGCGGCCTCAGTGAGGAAGAAGCTGGGTGAGATCCGGCAGTGCTGGGCCGAGCTGGAGAGCACCACCCAGGCCAAGGCAAGACAGCTCTTTGAGGCCAGCAAGGCCGACCAGTTGGTGCAGAGCTTCGTGGAGCTGGACAAGAAGCTCCTTCACATGGAAAGCCAGCTGCAAGACGTGGATCCTGGTGGGGACCTAGCCACCGTCAACAGCCAGCTCAAGAAGCTACAGGTATGGCCTGGCTGACCCAGACAGGGACTCCCTGTGCCACGGGGTGATGGGAATCAGGGTCAGACTCCACTCAAGGTGTTTTACACAGAGGGATTCAATACAGAGATTTATTTCAAATGTGTTAGGAGGGTTGGAAGAACAGAAGGAGAATACTGAAGAAACCCAGTCAATAGTAACTGTTGGAGGTAGCCACCACCTGGAGGGCCTGGGGTACAAAGGGGAGAAGAAGAATTCAGAACCAAGAAGCAGTAGTTAGATAGCCAGCGCACTGACGGTTTCACAGGACCCTGATGCCTGTTTCCTGGATAGAGAAACCAAGGCCCAGAGGTAGGGGAATGGCTTTGCACAGAGAAAGAATGACATTCATGGAGAGCCTCCTCTATCAGTCTCTGTGCCAAGCTCTCCCTCTTTCCAGCAACCTGTTACGATCCCCCATTTTACCAATGGGGAAAGTGAGGCACAGAAGGCAAGCACCTGGCCCAGGGACACACAGCTAGCCAGTGACTCCCTAGGACACAGAGAGGGCTCAGGGAACAGACACAGTGTCTGCCTTATCTCCGCTTCTAGCTGGCAGCTGGCCAGCGGTCAGTATCTGACCATTTGACATGAATGGCTGGTGGTGCGAATGTGGGCGTCGCTTTGCACCCTCTCAAGATGTGACAGCTCCTGCCTTTATGTGCCAGGAACTATGCCTGACCATGACCCATGGGAAACTGAGCCTCCAGGAGGTGAACTTACTGGCCCAGGGTAGCAAGTGAAGAGCCTGGATTCAAATCCAGGACACCCTTGATTTTTCACTGCTCCTTTAATATATCTTCTGCATAGTTATGCTCCTAAAGGGCTTGGCATAGGGTCTGGCAAAAAAACAAAAACCCAAAAAACAAAAAACCAAGCTGACTAATAATAAAAGCATGATACTAATTACCATCTATTCATTCCTCCATGCAGCGAATCTTTATTGAGCACCAACCGTATGCCAGGTGCTCTTCTAGGTGCCAGAATACAGCAGTGGGCAAAACTGACCAAAAACCATGGCCTTCCTGGGGCTCTCGTTCTAGTGGGGAGACAGGCAAAGGAGCAGAGAGACAAATAGATCTGAATCTGATACCAGTGATGTCATTGCTGTATACACAGCAGCGGCTCTCAAATGGCTCGGTCTCCAGGACACCTTTACACTCTTAGAAATCATGGAGATCCCCCAAGAGCTTTTGTTCAGGTGCATTATGCCTATTGGTATTTACCGTACTAAAAACTAAACCTGAGAAATACTTCCATTTTTGATTCACATACAAACAGCAATAAGAAATCAATCACATGTCAAGCCCAAAGGGTTCTTTTGTGAAGAATATATTTTCCAAGACAAAAAAACAAAAACGAAAAAAACACTGGAAGATTGGCACTGTTTTCAGTGCTGCAACTCTTTCCCGTCTGGCTTGATAGAAGATTCTCACCTTTGCTTCTGCCAGCATTTGGTTACAATGGCACGGGTCATATGGTCCCTGCAGAACCACACTATATTCTTGGAAGGGAATGGGTGTGATAAAGGCAAAAAACACCTTAGCACTCTTATAAAATAGTTGTAACCTTGCACACCCCTTGAAAAGGTGTTGGGGGGTGTCGTGAGCTCTTAAGAAACGAGGATCTGTGACTATCAGGGTCCCAGACAGAAGCAGAAAGCATGCCCCACCGAGGATAACTTGAGGAAATTCAGTGCTCTGCTGTCGCTGTCTTGAAATTCTTCATAATATTTGAACAAGGGGCCCTGCATTTTCATTTTGCTCTGGGCCCCACAAATTTTGTAGCTAGTCCTGAGCCCAGCCCATCTGGAAGCCGGAAGGCAGGGGGGCCGATTGAGGCCGTCTGCACGGGTCAGGCCCCTGGGGCACAGAGCAGGGTGGAGAAGCTTAGACTGGGGGTCAGGAGGGGCGAAAGAAGGCAGCCAGTGCAGGGGAAGCTATTACTAGCGTTGTTAATGGTCTTACTGCTATTGCTAATTCCTCCCTGGCAGCACATTGCGGCGGGTAAAGGCACAGACCCAGGAATCAGGCGGGTCTGGGTTTGAATGATAACACTGCGTCTTACCAGCCATACGATGTTAGGCAAGTGGCTTTGCCTCCAGCTCCACACCTCAGGTCCTGCTCTGTGTGATGGGAAACACCATCATGCTAAGTCACTCGTTGGCAGAGGGACCGCGGGAGGCAGTGGGGCACCATGGGCGAGGTCATGGTTGTGGGAGCCTAGCTGCCTGGGGTCAAGCCCTGGCTCTCTCATTTGCAAACCGATTGACCTGGAAATTACTTCACTTTTTGTGTCTCAGTCTCTTCGTCAGTAAAATGGGCACAATGATAATACCTCACGTGGACGTAGCGAAGATTCAAAGATGTAATTTATGGAGTTGTTTCAGTATTTGTTTACAGGTTTTTAAGTTTTTGTTTTAATTGTCTTCAACCGGATGGAGCGTATCATCACTATAGTGTGCTCAAAGTTAGTTGGTAGTTATTTCCTGGCCTTCGGTGTCGTTGCTATTTATGCAAAACAGTTATTTCCTTTGTTTGCCATTTGGGGTATCCCTCCCACTCATTTTGCATTTTATTTTATTTATTTGAAATGTTTATTTATTTTTGAGAGAGAGGGAGACAGATCTAAAGCAGGCTCTGCACCCATAGCAGCGAGCTCAATGGGGGGCTAGAACTCACAAACTTCAAGATCATGACCTGAGCCGAAGTCAGACGCTTAACCAACTGAGCCACCCAAGCACCCCTCATTTTGCTTTATAAAAGTGTGTTTTGGGTTGGGGGGGGTGCCTGGGTGGCTCAGTCAGTTAAGCGTCCGATTCTTGATTTCAGCTCAGGTCATGATCTCATGGTTCATGAGTTCAAGCCCTAATTGGGCTCTGCGCTGAAAGTGTGGAGCCTGCTTGGGATTCTCTCTCTCTCCCTCTCTCTCTCTCTGCCCCTCCCCTGCTCACATGCATGTGCTCACTCTCTCTCTTTCTCAAAATAAATAAACTTCTCTTAAAAATGTGTTTTGGGGGACGCCTGGGTGGCACAGTAGGTTGGGCATCCAACTCGATGTCAGCTCAGGTCTTGATCTCAGGGTCATGGGGTCAAGCCCCGTGTTGGACTCTGTGCTGTGTGTGAAGCCTACTTTAAAAAAAGTGTATTTTGGGGGGTGACATATGAAAGGTTAACATAGTGCCAAAGGTTAGAGCTATCTTCAGGTCACGTGATCTTGCCAAATAGCTTGCCTGAGGCGTGCTGCCAATTAATGCTCTCTCCCCAACAGAGAACGGGAGTTCCTGTTTCCGCCCATACTTGCCCACACCTGGTGTTGTCACTTTTTAGATTCTTCCCAGTCTGATGGTTGGGTGTTTGCATTTGTATTTTCTCCCGTGACTGGTGAGCTTGAACATCCCTGTCTTTCTTTTGGCCATTTAGGTTTTGGAGGGAGGATTTGGGGCCTCCTACTCTTCCCTCCCCAAGGAAGGAAACATTTGTTCAAGCATTTGTTCCAGGGAGAGGCTGAGGCCCGGCAGAGACAAGGGTCTGGCCAGGATCACACAGAGATGGGAGTCGGGGCAGGCCCCAGAACGGGACTTTCCCCAGCAGAGGGAGCCCGAGGCGGCGGGGAGTGACTCAGTAGGCCGCGGCCCCCAGATGGAGCCCAGCTGGGCCTCTGGAGCTGCCGCTGGGGAGGGGAGGGGCTGCCCAAGGCCCCGCTGTCCCCTGGGGCCGCCTGAGCGCTCAGACACTGGGCACACGCAGGAGGGCGGGCGGCCGCCATCCAGCCGGCACATTTCCTGGCTGCCGCACCCCTCAGGCCCCGGGGCCAGGCAGGGCTGGAGCGGGCTGGCTCAGGCAGAGGGGGTGTGGATGTGTGAGTGGTCTGCCCTCTCGGCCTCTCTCTGGGCCTGTCTCTCGGCCCTGCTCCCCCAGTTCCTCTGTGTGGAAACTCTGGGAGTTTCTGTCTCCCATCGTCGTGTCTCTCTTTATTTCCCGTACTCTCTCACTGTCTTCTCTTTTTCTTTCAGTTCTCCATCTCTCCCTTGATCTCTCCTGATCCCTGTGTCCTCCTGTGTCCTCCCCCCTCCCCCCTCCCCAGCTGCTGCCGCCGGCTTCCTGGGAGCCCACCTGAGGCGTAGGCCACGTGACCCAGAGTCCTCTCTCAGAGCCTCCTGCCCAACTGTGCTTCCAGGCCCAGGGACCAGATGGTGGAGTCCCAAGCCCCCACTTGCCAGGTCCTCAAGGGCCTGACCAGCTGGTCTGGCTCAGCCACGGGCTCCTGCCTGGGGAGGGGGGTGGCTGGTCTCCTGCCATCTGAGGGGGACGGGCCAGGGGAAAATGCACTGGAGGATTTGCAGCTGCTAGGCTGAGTCTCTGGGGACTCCTTACCACCCACCCCACCCCTGCACACACACACACACACACCCGCACCAAGTAAGGCTCTTTCTCTGGCCAAGGAAACACCCCTCCCCCCCAAGCATTCTTTGTCACATTTCTTTATGAACTCAGCATGGCCTAGGGGGAGAGTCTGATACAGGAGCTGCACATCCAGGGTTTGAGGCCCCATTCCACTACTGTGTGACCCAGGGCAAGTGACCCCACCTTTCTGAGCCTCAATTATTATTTTTTTTAATGTTTATTTATTTTTGAGAGAGAGAGAGACAGACAGACAGAATGTGAGAGGGGTAGGGGCAGAGAGAGAAGGAGGCACAGAATCCAAAGCAGGCCTGAGCCAGAGTCAGACGCTTAACCACTGAGCCACCCAGGCACCCCTAATTTTTAAAATTCTTAATTTTTATTATTTTTTATTTTTATTAAATTTTTTTAATGTTTAGTTTTTGAGAGAGAGAGCTCAAGCGGGGAAGGGCAGAGAGAGAGGGAGAGAGAATCCCAAGCAGGCCCTGCACTGTCAGCACAGAGCCCGATGAGGGGCTTAAACCCACAAACTGTGAGATTGTGACCTGAGCTGAAATCAAGAGTCGGATGCTTAACCAACTGAGTCACCCAGGAGCCCCTCATTCTTAATTTTCCATACTGCCCAGCTAAGAGAAGCAGAACAGCTTAGTGACTAGTCCAACAAACAAAGTTAGCACACGTTTACAGAGACCTTACTCTGTGCCAGGCACAGGGCCAGGCACTGGGATCCAGCTGTGAATGAAGCAAACATCCCCGTCTTCCTGACCTCCTGTGCTGTGAAGATTACATAAATTAATCCTGGCCAAGCGCTTAGAGCAGCTCCTGTCAGGGGGCAGGCATCAGGATGTGTTACCTATGATTGCTGTGATGGTAAGAAGTATAATGTGAAAAGTAAAAAGGCTTCCTTCCCCACCGCCTCCCCCCATGCAGTCTCGGTCTCCAGGGACGAGACCCTTGACACAGAGATGGACCATACTGAAGCTTGCCCTTTTCACCTGACAAAACACCCTGGGTGTCCTCTCTTGTCAAAGAATATATGGATCTAGTGTTGGGTGGCTCCACCATCCATCTTTAACCAGCCCTCTGCTGAGAGACGTCTGGGCTGTTTCTAATCTTCTGCTAGTATGAATACCACTGCGAGAGACATCCCCGTCCATACGTATTGAGCCCACGTGCAAACATTTCTGTAGAAAAGAGTCCTCAAGGTCCAATTTCTGGGCCAAAAGGTGTAGGTGTTAAACTTTTTGAGAGAGATTTTGAAAAGGCAGTGGACACACCTCCATGAGACAGCATTCTTCTTCCCAAGTGGTCATCATCAAGCTTTCTCATCTCTGCTAATCTGAGAAGTAAAAGATACTCTTTTGTTTAAAGTTTATTTATTTATTTTGAGAGAGAGAGAGAGAGAGAGAGCGAGTGAGCAGGTGCACATGCATGAGTGGGGGAGGGACAGAGAGAGAGAGAGAGAGAGAGAGAGAGAGAGAGAGAGAGAATCCCAGGGAGGCTCCACAGTCAGTACAGAGCCCAATGCAGGATCTCAGAACTGTGAAATCGTGACCTGAGCCGAAATCGAGTCAGACCCTTAATCAACTGAGCCTCCCAGACGCCCCTGAAAGACGCTTATGGTTATTTTTTTTAATGTTTATTTTTGCACACACACGAGAGAGACAGAGCATGAGTAGGGGAGGGGCAGAGAGAGAGGGAGACCCAGAATCCTAAGCAGGCTCCAGGCTCTGAGCTGTCAGCAAAGAGCCTGACACGGGGCTCGAACCCATGAACCGTGAGATCATGACCCGAGCCGAAGTCGGATGTTTAACTAACTGAGCCACCCAGGCGCCCGTGCCTTATGGTTATTTTAATTTGCATTTCCCTTAACATTGAAGGAGGCTACACATCTTTCTGTGTGTTTAATGACCAACTGTCCTTCTGTAACCTTTGCTCACATTTACAGGGAAGGATTCACATTAAATGAGTGTTCAAAATATGTGGCATTCTTGCAGAAGTAGAAAAGTGTCAGTCCTGTAATTATCCCATCTCAGTTCACACAGCCGCTTGGTGAGCAGGTTATGGAGGGGTTTTGATCTAGTGGAGAACTAGAATTTGTAACCTTAACATTTCAGATTATATGTGTTTCCAGAATTCGAATGCATTTTGATTTTCTACACATTGCTGCAGTGATTTTCTTAGTGAAAAGGGTTTTGGAGTGACTATTTTACTTTGATTTCTGCAGCATGTAATTATGCCTTTTGAAATTTCTTTTGGATGGTTTTGACTTGTTACAACGTTTGATTTTTATCCATTTTTATGACTCCTACAGATTGTTAACTGTATCAGCTGGGACTCAAGGGTGCAGTTCATAGAACTTCAAACCACATTGACTTGGGCTAAAGGGGAGGTTCTTGGCTCACCTAGCTGAAAAATCCAGCGGGTATGCACTGTAGGCATGGCTGGATCAGTTACTCAAATTATGTCCTGGGCAATCTGTCTCTTTTTCTGGGACCTGCTTTCTTCTGTGTTGGCCTCCTTGTCCGGGAGTCTGTTCCTTCCTGGTGGCACCTTGGCCCCCAGCACCCCAGGCATATGTTCTAACAGCTAAGGGACCCCATGGGAAAGAGAGCACCTGCCTGAGCTCACTTGCTTTTCCGCAAAAGTGGGAAGAGTTTTCATTGGCTGATCTTAGGTCACATGCCATCTGTTACCCAATCCCTGTGGCCAGGATGGTTGGTTTCAGTGTTCTGATTGGCTAAGTTGGGTCATGTGGCCACCCTTGGAGCTCAAGGTTCTTTTAGTCCCTCAGGAAGCTCAGGTCTGAGAGCAGGATTTGAGGTGCTGCAGAGGAAAGGGTGAATGGTGGGCTGGCAAAATCAACAGTTCTGCATTACCGAACTTTGGAACAAAAAGTCTTCACTTGATTCTTGGGTCTTGAGTATTGAGTTGCAGTCATTTGCTCTAATCTGTTACCACTTAATTTCATTATTGTTTTGCTTTCTTTTATGGCTTTCCCCCATCTGTTAAGAGTCACACAAGTAATAAATTAATATATTCTTTTGGTAAAAGATCTTACTAACCTAGAAGTCTTCAGTAAGACGTAAAGTCTCCCTTAACCATGCCTCTCATTCCTGCACCCAAAGGAAACCTCAGTTATGATTTGGTGTGCATCCTCCTGGACCTCTTTCTGTGCACTCATTCACTACCTGCATGGATTTTTACTGTTTTTAATTTTTTAATGCTTAAAGTTTTTAATAATTATATTTTATGGCTCAGACATCAAAAGCTGTACAAAAAATCCTATGCAACAAGTCTCTCCTTCACCCCTGCCCCATTCATGGAGTTCTTGTCTCCCCAATAGGTACCATCTGTGATTAATTTCTTGTTTATTCCAGGGAATCGTTATGCATGTGCAACCCGTGACAAATGTAATATATTCAAATGTGTGTTCTAAGTTGCTTTTTTCTGTTAACAGTAAATCTTGACCATTATTCCATACTGATGTGGATTTGTTTAACCATTTCATTCTTGATGGGCATCGTGTTTGTTTCTGATTTTTTCCCATTATAAACACTGCTACGATGTGATCCTTGGACAAACAGCTACAATGAACATCCTGGGACAAACATCTTTGTGCACATGTGCCAGTATTTCTTTAGTTACATTCCTAGAAGGGCAAGTGCAAATGCTGGGTCAAAACGTATGCACATTTTTTTTTTTTTTTTTTTTTTACATTTTGATAGGACTTGCCAAATTGCCTTCCAAAAAGGCTCTACTAATTTGCACCACCACCGACCGACAGTGGCTGAGTGTGCCTGACCGTCCCTCTGCATCTTCGCCAATACTAGATATTATTCTCCCCTTACATGTTTGCCAATCTGGTGAATAGGGAAAGATACTTTGTTTTAAATTGTATTTTCCTGCTGATTAGTGAGACTGGGCATCTTTTTGGGTGCTTAGTCTGTCTTCTGTGTTTGCCTTTTCACTGGGAGAAGTGCCTGTTCACATTGGGCCAGCCTTTGTCTTTGGGCATTGAACAAATCCCAACTGAAGACCCTCTACATGGCAGACACTGTTCTAGGTGCTCAGGAATACACAGGCCAATTGACACAAACCCTGCCCTCCTGAAGCTCCCATTCTAGAAGCCGGAGACCGATAAACAAAAAAACAAAAAAACCCTCAAATAAAGACAGAATTATCTGATGGTGGTAAGTGGAGACAAAGGAAGCAGGGAGAAGGGGAATTCTCTGACTGTCAAAGAAACTAGCTCCTTGTTCTAATATGTGTTAAATATTTTTTTCAGGTGGTCACTTGCCTTCCAACTACATTTAGAAATTTTGGTTGATGCAAAAGTATTGTATGTGGCCAAATTTATAAATCTTTCCCTTTATGATTTTTTTTTTTTTTTTTTGCTTGGAAAGATTTTCTCCATCCTAAGATCATAAAAGCATTTGCCCAGGTTTTCTTCTCTGCCTTATGGATTTACTTATTCCATTTAAGTCTTTAATCCATCTGGAATTGTTTTCAGCACAAAGAGCAAGGAAGGGATCCAGCTAAACTGGTTAGCCAGTTGGCCCATGACCACTCATTGAATAATCCATCTTTTCTTTGGAGATTTGAAATGGCATCTATAAAATGTATGAATTCTCCAGTGTATTTGGGTCTGCTTTTGCACTTTCTGTCTACCCCTATGGCATACCAGCCATTTAAATCACTATAATGTATTTATGACGTTTGGAAAGGTTGGCTCTTTTGGACAAGTTACCTAACTTCTCTGGGCCTCAGTTTCCACCTCTGTAAAGTAGGGTGGAAATTTGAAGGGTTGTTCTGACAATTAACGAATTAGTGGGCCGCTTTAGTCCAGGGGGGCAGGTAAGCCTCTTTGAGAAAATAATGTTTGAACTGAAATCTGATTGACAAGGCAGAGCATGCCTGGTAGGGGGAATAGCAAAGGCAAAGGCCCTGAGGCAGGAACTTGTTTCATGTGTGGCAGCATCAGCGAGGAGGGTAGCGCTTCTGGAGGGCAAGGGCCCAGTGAAATGGTGCCTCGTGGTGACGGGTTTGGCCGTCACCATGAAGGTCCTGGAGAGCCGCAGCAGGATGGGGAGGGAGGGTGGAGCCCGTTGTCTCTGCCCCTGTCCCCACAGTCGATGGAGTCGCAGGTGGAGGAGTGGTACCGCGAGGTGGGAGAGTTGCAGGCGCAGACCGCGGCGCTGCCCCTGGAGCCGGCCAGCAAGGAGCTGGTGGGCGAGCGGCAGAACGCGGTGGGCGAGCGCCTGGTGCGCCTGCTCGAGCCCTTGCAGGAGCGCCGCCGCCTGCTGCTCGCCTCCAAGGAGCTGCACCAGGTGGCGCACGACCTCGACGACGAGCTGGTGAGGACCGGCACGGGGACGGGGCGGGACCGGGGTAACCGGGAGGTGAGGGTTGCGCGGATGGGGCGGGTTAGGAGGCCACAGGCGAGCCGGCGAGCCAGCGGGGGAGTGGAGGTTGGGAGTGGGGGCGAGGCCGTGGGACCTTGGCGAGTTCAAGGGCGGAGCTGACTGGGAGACCTACCGACTGACACCGCGCTAGACCCAGTCACTCAATGCTTCCCTTACTCATTCACTCGTTCACTTATCCACGCATTCATTCACCTTTTCCACCCTCACTTACTCTCATTCCTTGATTTATTCATGAAGCCATTTAGTTGTTCACTGACTCATCCTTTATTCCTTCCCTCGCTGATTTATTACTATCCATTTATTCGCTCGCCCCTCGTTCATTCATTTTCGCACTTAGTCACTCACTTCCTCATTTGCTCATTCGTTCATTTACTCATGCATTTGCTCATTCACTTGATCATTATGGGCCCAGCTCTGGGCTTGGATGATAATGCAGTCACGGGGGTGACCAAGACGGACCCCATTCCTGCCCATAGAGGGCTCAAGAGTTCAAGGGGGGAGGGGGCGGGGAGACAGAGCTCTCTCCAGACAGTGACAATCCAGGGTGATTAGGGCTGTTATGAGGAAGTTAGGAGGCAGCTGGCCAAGGTCCAGAGTCAGGGAGGGTTTCCTAGAGGAGGGGATGTCTGAGTGGAGACAGGAAGGAAGAGTCCCAGTGAGCCCACTGAGGGAGCAGGAAGGGAATTCCAGGAAGCAAGACGTGCCTGTGCAGAGGACAGAGGTAAGCACGAACCTGGCCTGAGTGCATGCAGAGAGCAAAGCAGAGCATGTCAAGAGAAGGGGCCAAAGATGTGACCAAGACTCTTCGGTGAGGAAGGGCCTTAGATACTGTGCCGGTGGCTTCCGGTTGAATTGGGATGCAGGGGTCCTTGGGTGCATTCTCCCCTTGACCTGCTCCCTGTATCCTCCCCAGGCATGGGTCCAGGAACGACTGCCACTGGCCATGCAGACCGAGCGAGGCAGTGGTTTGCAGGCTGTCCAACAGTACATCAAAAAGAACCAGGTGAGCAGAGCCAGGGTGAGGGTGTGGGTTAGGACACATCTGGATATGAGAGAAAACAGGTCCAAGTGGTTAAGGCCCCAAAAAGGAAATTCGCTGGCTCTTGTGATGGGGAAGACTGTGATGGACAGCAGGTATAGATGCATCCAGGTACTTCCGTGATGTCACGAATCTCTCAACGCGGTGTGAGTGTGGGTGTGCGGGTGTATGTTTCTGTGGTAGCTTTGTTCTCAGGGCCAGCTCTTCTCCCCTGGTAGCGAAAGACCTCCAGCAGATTCAAGTGTACATCCCACCAGTAAAACTGAAGAGGATTTCTCTCTCTCAATATTTTCAGCACTAGTCCCAGGGATAAACTCTCCCTGGCCGAGCTTGAGTCCCATACCCATCCCCGAACTAATCATGGTGGCCAGGGATTTGTCTGCTCTGTTGGCCTGGTCTGGACTCAGGGCCCACTCTCGGAACCTGCAGGTGGAGTCAGCCTTAATCACCTGGGCTGAGATGAGGCTCACCTGAGTGAGAAGCATGGCTGTTAGGCAAGGACAAAGAAAAACAACAGTAGATGAGAACCCAAACCACCCACAGGGAGAAAGGACGAGATAGTCAGTGGGAGAGCGCTGACTCCCCAGCTGATCAAGGTGGGGGTGCTTTTGAGCCCCAAAGAGCTCTCTGCATCTCTGTTCACTTCTCCGGGCCTTAGTTCCACATCTAAATTTTCAAATCACTTAGCCGAAGGACTCCTCAGTCAAAGCAACTCAGTCAAAGCCTAGTGTAAGACACATAAAAGAGGAATACTACGACTACCGATAATAATTACACATGGATTAAAAGACTTACTGTGTGCCAAGTGCCATCCGTCCTAGGGGGGTATGTTGGTTGTTTAATTTAATCCCCACAGTAACCCTACCAGCTATTCTCATGACCCCCTTTACCAAAGACTATGAGTTGGGAGAATGGGCACTGAGAAATGGAGGGGAGGTGGGTTTACAAATTATTCTCAAAAGTTTGTGACCACGCTGCACAGATGGAGGGTTTTTTTAGATTTCGTTCTTCTTCTTTTTAAGTTTATTTATTTTGAGAGAGAGAGAGAGAGAGAGAGAGAGAGAGCGAGCTCATGAGCAGGGGAAGGGCAGGGAGAAGGGAGGGGAGAGACAATCCCAAGCAGGTTCCGCTTAGCATGGAGCCTGACTCTGGGCTCGAGCCCACAACCACGAGATTACGGCCCGAGCTGACATCAAGAGTTGGACACTTGGGGCGCCTGGGTGGCTCAGTCAGTTAAGCAGCCGACTTCGGCTCGGGTCATGATCTCACGGTCCGTGAGTTCAAGTCCCGTGTCGGGCTCTGTGCTGACAGCTCAGAGCCTGGAGCCTGTTTCAGATTCTTTGTCTCCCTCTCTCTGACCCTCCCCCATTCATGCTCTGTCTCTCTCTGTCTCAAAAATAAATAAACGTTAAAATATATATATATATATATATATATATATATATATATATAAA